ATTCTTGAGTGTGAAAATGTTTTTGAATTCATAGCATAGTTTCATAATTTTGAGAATTATTTTCATTTCAGCCTAAACAAATTTATAGTCTTTGTGTACTCCAGAGCCCTGCAAGGCCCAACATAATGGGCAAATACAGGATCTGCCAATATTGGTCATTCGTAAGTTACTAAATAGACAAAAATGTGCAGTTTTTGTTAGGAGTTGTCAGAACATGAGGGTTATAAATTTAGATCCACTAAGGGGTAGTTATTTTCCAGTATTGCATCTGCCTTTGCACTGTATCTGATTATTCTTCTTGCAAGTGTGTGCTGTAGTACCCAGTATAAAATAAAGGAGAAATTAATTAGCTACTCCAAAAATCAACTCTAAATATATGCCTTACCATCAGTAGGTCATCAGAAGGAACTGTACATTTATGTCACTCAGAGTAATAAAGTTTATTCACATATGTATTAGGAATATAGCTTGATTTATTCTTAGTATATTCCTGATTGTATGGTTTTTAGTAGTAGAGTGCTAGATACCATTCTTAAAACTTTTTAGATCATTTAAAAGGTAATTTGCTATTGTTGCAGAATAGCAGTTCTTATTAATATCACATAATTCAATTTACTTGATCCACTGTGTTCCTGACAAATTTTTTTTAATTTAATGAAATGCAAGATTAGCTTTTAGTTAATTTTTTTCTGGAAAAATTATTTTAAAATCTTATTTAACAGCACAAGAAGAATAGTGGTTTTTTACCCCTTTCCCTTTGTACTCTATGGGTTCTGTCTTAAGAGCTTTATAGTCAGCTAGCATGTTATATAAACTCCCAGGCTCCAGCTACTTGGGCCCTATATTTAGTTCACTTTGTTAGTAAATGACTTCACTTTATTTGGGTCTTGCATTATTCTGCATATCAGATTTAGCTTCATGTGATACCTAGCCTCCCTTTCTTTATGTGAAATATTTTAGATGAAAGTAAAAAAAAAAAAAAAAGCCTCATTTATTTTTTATACTTGAGAATGTCTATTGGTTTACTAAATGTTTCAAGAGTGCGAGGGAAATCCTTCACAAAGCAATCTAAAATGGTAAATATTTTATGATAACTGGTTTCTAGCTTTAGTCCTCTGTACAAATATCAGTCTCTGTGTTGGGAATGAAAAAAGCTATGAATAATTACTAAGTACAATTAGTAGTTTCTAATTTGCGTTTATATAAATTTCAGGTAAATAATTTACCTTTCAGAAGCTATACAATTGCCATGCTAAATTACAGGTTCTGTGTTTAGGGTGAAAAAAAAAATGAGGCTCTTATTTGTAAACAGAAACTAGTGCAAACATTTTGGTTGATGTTGCCTGGATAAAAAATTAAATGGACTTTATGAGTCAATTAGATCCAAGAGTTAGAAGAGTTAATGAATATTAAGGTAGATCGGTGAAAATGTAGTATAATCCTTAATCAGGTACAGTTTTAATATCTAGTGTAATTTTGCATGAAAATGGCAAATAACCATTACTCTCTTTCAATATTTGTTTGTACTTTATGTTTGGAACCCTGCCAATTCTGGCCTGGTTTATGACTAGGTTACTTATAATTCTGATTAGGCAATAAGCAAAAGTGTCTTGTACTTGATT